CAGTGAACGAGAGTCTGCTCACACAGCGATATGCTGCTGACACCGTGGTGGTCGGACACAAAGCTGTTGGTCACTTTAAACATTCCACCTTCACTATGTTGACATTACAAGCCTCATTGCTCAAATCCAATTTTTTGCTCAAATCCGATCTGTCTCACACGATGGTTCACACTCGTTCAGGTAAGTGATTCAGATCTGTCATTAATGTGAACGAACCAGCATCCTGAAATGACCTGTATGAGCACATCCTACTCAATAACGTCACATGAATGAATCACGGGCGTCACGTGCATCATCAGCAAACAGACTAACAAGCAGAACGAGCTTCGCTCAGAAGATAATTAACTCTGATCAGCTCTCAGCTGTTTATTATTAGAGCGAGACTAAGGCAAAGAGGTGAGATGTGTTGCTTTTCCACCTTTTACAGGCTTCAACTTCTGTTCGGCTGCTGCCATGGTAACGCTGAATGACGGCGCAGTGCAGTGGAAAAAAGCACTTGAATTCCGATCTGAACGTCACATTAAGGTCACATGACCACGAATCGGATACGTATCCGATCTAGGACCACATATGAAAGTGACTCATGTCGGATTTAAAAAGATCAGATATGTGTGTCCACACAGCTCTGAAAACATCAGATCTGAGTCACATTAGGGCAACAATCGGATTTGTGCCACTTCAGCATGATAATGTGAACGTAACCCTTGTCATAGTAAGGAATAGCAAGGAATTCAAAGGAGTGGTTTCAGCCCATTTTTATTTACACAATATCACAACCACTTTCCCAATACGGGTGGAGACACGGAGGCAGAAAAGTCGACAGTTGCTTCTAAAGTAAAATATATGCTGAATTTACTTAGTTTTACTGAATATAATAGTAAAAACTGAATATAATAATCACGTTAAAACTGATTTGGTGACTGTTTTTGTGAAATAGGCTTTAGACAGACTTTATTGTCCTACCATGTATATTTTATTGCGCATTATGGTTAGCCAAGCTGCTCAGTACTCAGGTGTGCAGCATGTTATTTGAATGAAACAGCTGAAGTTGAAATTGTCCGTCGACAGAGCTGTCTGTAACAGCTGTACAGAAGTGTTTTTCTGATGTGGAACAACACCCAGTGTTCTTCACTGTCATGCTACTCCGTACAAGGTAACTAATGTAGTTAGTATGGATAGCTAATGCACTAAAATCAGCTAGAAATTAATGATTGAACTATTATTGCAGTCATTTACACCAACAACTACCTCATTTGAAATAATTCACTATGGTATCATAATTGGTATCAGTGAGTCCTAAAAAACATGTACTTGATTTGAAAAAAAATGGTATCAGTGCATCCCTAATTTAGTGCGTTTAATTTGTCAAATTAGGTTTTTGGTACTAAGCTAAATGTTTCTCCAAAGTTGAGAAAAGTAATTGTTTTTCAGATATGGCCTATTTAAGAGCATGGAGAAGAAGAAAATGGGAATTGAACATACTTGCTCAGCCAGATGCAACAGATATTTCAAACCCAGCAGAATTTGAGGCAGGGAGCTGCAATATAGACAGCAATATAAGTGGCTCAGAAACGGACAGTTCTGATTTTTATTCTGACTTGGAATGCCTGCCAACTTCATCAGAATCAGACACAGAAATATTAGATAGGGATTTGCCAGATCTTAGACATGACCTTCAGCAATAGGCTGTAACAAATGGTGTCAGTCAGAGGGCTCTTAATGGGCTTTTAGGAGTTCTCAGAAAACATGGCCTTCACTTGCCCAAAGATGCACGCACACTTCTGTCTACACCCCAAACTACAGAGTGTCAGGAGAAACGTAAAGGACATTACATTTATTTTGGCTTGGAGAAAGGGATACGTCAGAGCTTGTCACAGTTTAAACCTCCTTGTGATTTGATCAGCCTTAGTATAAATATTGATGGTGTTCCCCTTTTTAAGTCCAACAGAACGCAGCTTTGGCCAATCTTGGCAACATGTAACAATTTTCAGCCCTTTGTTGTGGCGCTATTTTGTGGCGAGCAAAAGCCAGAACCTCTTGAGGAATACCTGAAGGACTTTTTAGACGAGTTCAAGCTACTTAATGAAAATGGTCTGCTGCAAAATGAGAAAAACTATACAGTTCAAATTCAAGCGTTTGTGTGCGATGCACCAGCCAGGGCGTATTTGAAATGTATAAAAGGTCATACATCATATTATGGCTGTGAGAGGTGTACTGTTAAAGGTACACATGTCTTAGGAAGGATTGTTTACCAAGAAATATGCACAGCAAGAACAGATGATAAATTCAGAGAAATGCATTACACAAACCATCAAACTAAAAAGACTCCTTTGATTGATGCAGGAATTCACTGCGTCTCTACATTTGTTTTAGATTACATGCACATGGTTTGCTTAGGGGTAGTGAGGCGCATCTTGGTGTATTTGACTCGTGGACCAAAAATTGCAGACTTTCTGTTAGAAAAATCTTCTTTAAATAATCAGCCTGAGACCACCGATGTCTTTGAAGCTTTTATTCTTGCAGCAAGGGAGCAGTTACACACAGAGCCAAGTCTAGAATGTAATGCTCAAAGCGCTTTGGGTCATGCCCTGTCTTATACCATTGAAAATGTACGTTTCACTCTTACTCAGCTGAACTATTCTTCAACTTCTTGTTTATCTATTTCCTGATACATCCCTTTTCTTAGAGTTTACCCAAAGGTCCAGTTCTCCTTTCTGCGTACCGTTGTCTTCACTTCTTACTGATAGGAGAGCCCTTCATCTGACCCCAGAGTGTACGCAGTGCACTCTGTCTGAACTCCTCTGCCTACAGAGTTCTAAGCTTAAGCATAACCATATATGGTGATTCAAGCATTAACATAGAGTATAATACTGAATTTTTCTGACACTTTCTAACATACATTGGATTTCTTTCAACTTCCATGTAAATCAAAACTACTGAATATAGCATTTACAAGGAATGTTGATGGCAGAATGAAAAGAAGAGTGATACAACAAAGAGACCTTCAGCGTAAAGTTGCCTGTCTCCCTCACAATGGTGGATGTGTCCTTATACCCCTTCGCCATGGGACAGAACATTGTAACTATTGAAGCAATGCCTTACAGAATAAGTTGGCATGACTCTTAAGATCTGTTATATTTAGTGATTATGAGTCAGAGATTACATGCCAGCAGGAAATCAAATTGAGAAGCAACAAATTAAATTCACCAAGGTTAGTATCACAATAAAATCGATGGATATAAACTTAAACCGAACCAAAATTGGATACTGAATACTGAATGACTTTAGTTTAATATATATGTAGTGTATATGTACTAGTGCATCGTTGTTTAAAGTAATAATTTAAACATGAGTGGAAGCTTGTAACCTTCAGTACACATTATGTAATTTGTTTTCCTTCATTGTTAGCAACATTATCATGATTGATTGAACTGTTTTTAAAATACTTTGATACTTTTCCATTTGTTACTGTTCCAGGTGTAAAATGCCATTGTATGCAAGGGCTGTGTGGTTGGAAGATGGAAAAGAGTTGGAAGGCACCGTCCCATACAGTTGGATTAATATGGCTGAAAAATTACTCAGATGGCCAGTGTCTCAAGAATCTAAAGCTTTCAACAACCATCTACCACCTCAGAAAAACTGGCTCATGTTTTCTCTCATCAAGGTTAAGATGACATCTGGTAAGTTTTTATGCATAGAATGAGTGTTGTATTATAAAACATAAATGTTATTTTGCTTCTTGATTGCAGTTAATACGTTTTAACTGATAACTATACCTTGGTACAGATTCCTGAGCATTACTTCTTTTTGTGTATATCATCTTTAAATTACGAACTGAAAGTGAGTGTAGCTTAAATATGAAGTGTTGAAAACTTGTCTATTTAGTCATTGTAGAGGATTGCAGACTATCCAAAAGGCACTGACCTCAATAACATGAAATTTAGACTGTTAATCAGCAGCCTAGTTTTTAAAATAAGCATGCTTGTTTGCTCAGAGATGCTAGAAATTTGGTGTTGAATGATAGTTTTTCGATATTTGACAGTAATGACATTTGGTCATTAGCTTTGAATTTAATTGGGGTCCTTAACTTTTGGTGATTGTTCACTTGTAGTAAGTCGTCAAGAATGTGAAAAGTACAATTACACAAGCCAGGATGATGAACCTGTTGCAAACCTAGGAAAGAGAAAGTAAAAAAAAACTAAATATGATGACTACATTCTGGGTGAGTTTCTTCTTTCTTATTAAGTAATATTGTAAGTCTGTTGTATCTCATCATTAGGTAACCTAGTTCAGTGTTTCTCAACCCTAGTTGTGGAGTATACTGGTTTTGCATATTGTAGTGTGTTCCTACTTCATAATATGTCCATGAAAATTCAGGGCATGTTAATGAACTGATCAGTTGGATTCCTCTATTTCTTAGGTCAGCGCTCCTACTCTGACAGGCTTTAGAGCAGGGAAAACTCAAAAATATGCAGAGCCATGGGCACTCCAGGACTAGGGCTGGGAATCTGGTTGATGTTCACACAAGTACCTTGGTATTAATCTGTGGTCCTTTTTTATTTTGTGTTCTGTTCTAAAGGCACATTTGTTTGATTTCAGTACTTATAGTAGTGTGCAGAAGAGAAGAATCCTTCTCTTTTCTCTTCTGAGAAACAATCCTTCATTTAGTTTCAAGTCAAAAACGACGCACAAGTAATTTATTTTTCCCGAGCATCAGGAAAAAGTACGTCCATCCTTTGCCTTGAGTTTTTGCAAGAAATCTGCATGGATATTTTTCCACAGCTGCAAAGTTCAGTCTTAGAAGTTGGTTGCATTTTATGCCTCTCATGATCTAGGTAATCCCAAACACAACATTCAGCGATGTTGAGGTCTGGACTTTCTGAGGGGTGGTCAGTCTGTTATTGTGAAAACACAAGCAGTTCTCTTATTGTCTGATTCCATTATTTCCATTGACTTACATTAAAAGTAGATTTTTTTCCTTCTTCTGCAAAGTTATCATTTTTAGATACAAGGTGTTCTTCCAACAACAGTGATGTGCAAGATGTATAAAGTGAATCATTTGGTTTCTTTGTGTAATTGCAGAAACTGATCTATCTGAGGAAGGTGAGCAAGAGGGAGCAGAGGAAGAGAGCAGACCAAGTACAAGTAAGGGTAAGTAGGCCGATTTCAAAACTTACTCCGAAGAAGTTCTGTTTTGTTGAACTGCATTAATTTTTGTTAGATATTCTGATGACAGAAATTACCATTTTATTCTTTTCCTCGTGCATGTGCACTTTTGCAGTTTCGAATATGGTGTCAGCTCCATTTCCAAAGCAGCCAGAGAAAGTGACGCCTTCATATAATGGTGAGTGACTATTTGCATATGCATAACAGGACTGAATTAACAGCATTTATGCAAGCCAATGAATGTTGTTTTCAAGAGTCGGATAAAGGCAGACACAGCCCAGGTCACTGTAGCTCTCGTGGTGCTGATAGAACTGCTCTGCTTTCTGGTTAGTAGTTTGGTTTTGAAGTTTGCTGTTGTTTTTTTCTGATGTGTCATTATTATTGTTATTATTCTGTTATGTCATTCTTTTTTTTCCTCTTCTTTTTCTTCTTATTAATGCCATCAGGTTGACACCTGCTGACCATATGGATAATTTTTTGTACATCTTGTTGCTGGCCATCTTTTTCCTCTTTTACTTTCAACTATTCCAAGCATCATTCTTTTAATGAATTGGCTCTTATTACAGTATGTCCAAAATGAGGTTCAGTTTAGTCATCCGGGCTTTTGCTGTCTTCTGAAGTTACTATTTTTATTGCCAGCATCAAAGTTAAGAGAGAGAAATATTTTTTCTGTGCTGCTTTCACAACCATGAAGAATTACAGAAAAGACCATAGCCGATATGTGTCATATTTCTGTATCTTCAATAGGGCTGGGTACCGAAATTTGATACCAAAAAGGCACCAAATGAAACATTGCAGTACTACGAAGTACAGAAAAGCCTCAAAAATATTGGTGCCTGTTTTGCATAAAACTTTGCATAATACGCAAATCATGAGGGATTATTGGAGTAACCTTACTACTAATGCAAAAAAAGAAAAGAAAAAAAAAATGTGATTGCCTCCCTGACGAACAGAAACGCAGAGAGCACACAGCTAGATAAATTTGTCGAAGATGTCGTAAGTCTGACTCTACTTTGAAAAGGTAACTAATAACAGTTCCAGGTGCAACAAGTGCCCTAAGATAGTGGCTTTCAAAACGAAATCTGTCAAATCTGATGAAATATTTGATTACATACGCAATTAATCAAGAAAACTGCAGAATTCTTAAGTGCATGAAGAACAGCACTGCATTGCCACCGGAAATGGTAGAATCTGGGCTAAATATATATGAGCCACACGCCGACGCCAGTGTTTCCAGTGATAAAATACCATCTAGTAAGTTAACACCTGGCACCTTTTTCGCTTTGCCAGAGAAAAAATAATGCTCGTTACTATTCCGTTTGCCATGCTGAAAGCCAGTTAGGATTCAGCTAACGTTAGCATAGAACAGCATTAAAAAATATTTTGAGTCTCATCTGTCCACTGTTCTTTAACTTTCCTTAAATAGGGCTTTCAGGTCTTCCTGATTTTCTGCTATGAGCATTGAGATCTGCTAAAGGAAGGTTATGGATGCACCTGATCATCTTCCTCTGATCCTGCTCCTGTTATTATATGTTCAGCATATAGATTTAAGAAGTGTGATGATTTTATGCAGCCTTGTTTAACTCATTTGTGGATGTGGAATTCCAGCCCTTTTCCATTGTTACAAGATGACGCAATCTTGTAACGCAGACCTTTTTGCCTGCTTACTGGCAAGCTTTGCACGCCCTCACCCGGCCCGCAGCAGCAACTGGAGGCAGCAAGAGTTTGTTCAGGGGCAGAGCGTCTAGGGCCTGAACTGGCATTTTGAACATAGAACAGATTTACATGCTTCAAATAGACCCCAGAAATAACATTATGAATGCTGAAAATGATCAAAATAGGTCCCCTTTAAAACATTTAATTAAACCATTATTCCGTTTACCCTAACCATTAAACTTTTTGTTTTAAGCGATTGCAATATTCATGTTATTTAAAATTGCCATTAGCTTGGGAATTCACAGTAAACAGTCAATTTCACTGTATAAAATGTTTTTTTTCTGTAATTTTTACATGATCTGAGTTGTACACGAGAGAATTGTAACGTTATGCATCGGCCTAATTTTAGCATGAACATCTGTCAGCTTCTTGTTGGAATTTTTTTCAGTTCCCACCCTAAATGATGCATCAGTTACATTCTGGTACCTCAGGCGTTATAATAATAACTGTCGCACCATTTAAGGTGGAACGGGAAAAGCTGCCAAATAAGAAGCTGACTTCAGCTTTGTCAGAGAACACAAGTAAAAGCTTCTTTGCATGCCTCCGTACTTAAACTACTATACACAGAGTGTAATATTGTTTTTACTGACGTTTATTCGCCGGGGATTAATATGAACTAAGGTTTATGGCTCATTTTACAGAAGGTAAAAGGCACCAGAATCTTTACTGATGCAGGACTGACGTGGCGCATTCGGACATGACTAAAAACACTGACAAATGCCAGTAATAATTACTTTACACCACCTCCCCATGTAAAACTAATCCCGTCCGAATAGGGCTTAAGAATTCTCTGTAGTCAAACATGTTTACTTCCTTCTTAAATTTCTTGGCTTTTTCATTTATGCAGCATACCTCATTGCAATACCACTTGTCTCATTTTCCAGGTTTAGAGCGTTGCAGGCCAGGTCGTTCTAGTTGTCATGATGGTGACAGAACCCCTCAGTCCTTTGGTTAGTAGTTGGGGTCATTATTCATGTGAGCGCTGGCCAAGTAATTGAGTTATTTCCTAAGTATTTATAAAAAATTACCTGCTTTGAATAGATCAACATTCAAATTTGTTGAAGTCACTGTAATGCTGACTGTCTTTGTTTCCCAGATTTATGTCATCGTAGATGCAGCCCAGGTTCCTCTGGTTCTTGTGGTGGAACCCGAACCATCCTGTCCTCTGGTTAGTGATCAGCTTCACTGCAGGTTCCATATAACATGTTAGCACAATTATTTGATCATATTTACAAAGAATCATTAACCTTTTAAACACAGCACACAACCTACATATTATCGTAGGTTGTATTATACCTACATATAATAATTTTATTATCGTGCTTATTGTACTTTTATGGTGCTTATTAGTAGGCAGTGTACTGGTTGAAATTCCTCCTAAGGTATGAGCTTTGTCATACCCTTTGTAGTGGTTAATCACAAATAAGCACAGATAACACCGTATCATGAGTCATGGACGTTTGTCATATTTCAATTGAAAATAAAACAAAACTGAAGCAGGCCCTCGATAACTGAAAACTTTACAGGAGAAGGAAAAAACCTACTTTACTTTTAATGTAAGTCAATGGAACCAGATGTCCAAGTAATTTTGGGCTGTTTCTTTTAGTCCATCAATCATCAAATTTACACATACACAATTATTTTTATTCAATATTTGCTATACTGCATTACACTAAATCCAGTTAAACAGGACTAAATTTGCTCTCTCTATAATGAAACATGCAGTTGGTTAGTACTTTAGAAGTATTGACAGTATCCACGATTTGTTCAGAAAAGTAGTGTCTTGTATTCTGACATAATTTATCGTGTGTGTGTGTGTGTGTGTGTGTGTATATATATATATACACACACACACACACACACACACACACACACTATATTTCCAAAAGTATTCACTCACCCATCCAAATCACTGAATTCAGGTGTTCCAATCACTTCCATGGCCGCAGGTACTTAGCCATGCAGACTGCTTCTACAAACATTAGTGAAAGAATGGGTCGCTCTCAGGAGCTCAGTGAATTCCAGCGTGGTACCGTGATAGGATGCCACCTGTGCAACAAGTCCAGTCGTGAAATTTCCTCACTACTAAATATTCCACAGTCAACTGTCAGTGGTATTATAACAAAGTGGAAGCGATTGTGAATGACAGCAACTCAGCCACGAAGTGGTCGGCCACGTAAAATGACAGAGCGGGGTCAGCGGATGCTGAGGCGCATAGTGTGCAGAGGTCACCAACTTTCTGCAGAGTCAATCGCTACAGACCTCCAAACTTCATGTGGCCTTCAGATAAGCTCAAGAACAGCGTAGAGAGCTTCATGGAATGGGTTTCCATGGCTGAGCAACCGCATCCAAGCCTTACATCACCAAGCGAAATGCAAAGTGCCGAATGCAGTGGTGTGAAGCGCTGCCACTGGACTCTAGAGCAGTGGAGACGTGTTCTCTGGAGTGACGAATCACGCTTCTCCGTCTGGCAATCCGATGGATGTGTCTGGGTTTGGCGGTTGCCAGGAGACGGTACTTGTCTGACTGCATTGTGCCAAGTGTAAAGTTTGGTGGAGGGGGGATTATGGTGTGGGGTTATTTTTCAGGAGTTGGGCTCAGCCCCTTATTTCCAGTGAAAGGAACTCTTAATGCTTCAGCAGACCAAGAGATTTTGGACAATTTCATAATCCATACAATTTCAGGTCCATGAAGACATGGATGAGCGAGTTTGGTGTGGAAGAACTTGACAGGCCTGCACAGAGTCCTGACCTCAACCCGAAAGAACACCTTTGGGATGTATTAGAGCGGAGACTGCAAGCCAGGCCTTCTCGTCCAACGTCAGTGTCTGACCTCACAAATGCGCTTCTGGAAGAATGGTCAAAAATTCCCATAAACACTCCTAAACCTTTTGGAAAGCCTTACCAGAAGAGTTGAAGCTGTGATAGCTGCAAAGGGTGGGCCGACATCATATTAAACCCTATGGATTAAGAATGGGATCTCACTCAATTACATATGCGTGTGAAGGCAGACCAACGAATACTTTTGGCAATATAGTGTGTGTGTGTTTTATACATATATATATATGTATGTATGTATGTATGTGTGTGTGTGTGTGTGTGTGTGTGTGTGAGTGTGTGTGTGTGTATATTATTGCCGGTCCCTTTATATATACCAATGCAATATACTAAACCATCAGAAAATTTAATTGTACCATGATTATACATTTTTGTCCATACTGCCCACAACTACTAGTGCTACCTTGTTTTGCAGATTCAGATCATCGCAGACGCAGCCCAGGTTCTCATGGTGATGACAGAAGGCCCCTGCCTCTTGGTAAGCAGTATGTATTTTTTCAGCACTCAGTATTTATCAGTACCAAAATTTTCTTAATTTAGAAAGAGCCTCTCTCACGTGAACACACCAGCCTCAAGTTTGTTTGTCACTTTGATGATGCCTGTCTTGTTTTCTACATACACAGTATGCCACAGACACAGCCCAAGTCGATTGAGCTCTTGTGGTGACAGAGCCCCCCAGTCCTATGGATAGCAATTGGCTTTAATTTTTTCTTTTTTTGGATTTATTTTTTGCTAGGCCACCCTATAAGAGTCACTATCTCTGAGTCACTGAGTGAAATGAATTCATTCATTAAATGGTGCTATAGACCAAATTAGATGAAATGAGGTCATGATGTCCATTACTCACCTTTTACTCATGTAGGGTTAATATATAAAGGAAGAAAAGAGAAAATGCATTAATTGAAACACATCAAGAAAAGCTCCTGCATGAATGAATGCAGTAGTGGTGAGTACTCGATGTTTGAGCTTGTAGAGTGTCTATCAGTTGGAAATGATCTCCTTGCAGCATTTATTGGGGGGAAAAGTGCCTGGTGCATGTGCATCCACCAGACACTGCAGGCAGGTGGACTAAAATGTTGCAGCTACTATGCAGCAGATGGCGGCCCAGCAAAACTAGAATACACTAGTGCTGTTGCTTTTGCTACTTATCTTGTTTTGTAGATTTGGATCATCACAGACACAGTCCAGATTGCCCTAGCTCTCATGGTATCAGTAACCTTGTGCCTCCTGGTTAGTAGTGGGAACAGTAACAGGGTTTGTTTTTCACAGCATAGATTTGTTAAAACTAGTGTCAACTAGCTAAACTACATTTACAATCATACATCAACCTTCAGGTTTTGTGTAGTAAATTTTAGTGACTGTACTGTTTATATCTTGTTTTCAGACTGTCACAGCCGCAGCCAAATTTGTTATAGTTCTTATGGTGACAGAGCCTCTCAGCCCTCTGGTAAGTCATTTGATTCATAATAGTTAATTTGGTATGTGATATTGCCTCTCAGTGACTAGCAGAGTGAAATAATATTTACAAAAAACAGCTGTTTCAGGCCACAAATTTTGCACTTAAATTATTAAACACAGTGTCCATCCTGCCTAACACTCCGAACCTATTTCCCATGTCAGAGGCTTGTAAGCTATTTACCACCCCTACCCCCCCCCTCTCTTTTATCTAAGGTGTACTGTTACTATTTGTAATTTCACTCATTGTTGCATTGAGAATTTGTCTTCATACAGATCACATAACATTAGCGCAGACAGATAATGAATTATTCGTTACTGTTATGAACATGACATTAATATTATGTTCCACCTGAAATATTTTCTGCATCTAACACTGGTATTACATGTCTACAACGATGAATACAAACAAATGTTCATAAATTTTAACTAAGGTAGGATTTATTGTGATTTTTGTGGTTAGTGTTTCAGAAGCGAGTGTTGTCAAAACTTCTGGACATACATGAGGAGGTAAAGCGGCTTGGAAGAGCTGAGCCACCTCTGTCTGATACACACATAGTTAAAATGGACAGTATTGATGAGTTTGAAAGGGAAGAGCATAGACTTCAGGACAGGAATGCAAGAGAGGTTCTGGTAAGAGTGCAGAGGCTGGATGAGGTGTTCAGATCATACATTGGAGAGCTCAGTGAAAGTCACAATGTTGGCCCTGTTTTGTCTTTTTTTTTGTTGTTGTTGTTTTTTTTTCTTTAAGACTGCACAACTATCCAGTGTCGGTGGAAAAAATGTGAAAGACTGCACCCACAAAGTTCTGGACAGGTATCTACATATAGCTTCATTAGTTAAGTAAGATGGATTTGTTTTCACGATTTGTATATAAAAAACTACCATTTAATTCTGTTGTCTGTTTTTAATTTAATTCATTTTTAAGTATTGATACAGAATATGTAGAGAGGAGAGTTGCCACTGTGTAATGTCTTACGGGTTTCTTAAACGCTAGAGGGGGCTCCCAGGCGAGTCCAAAATGAATGGGTTAATATGGAGCATTTGAGCAAAATCATAGTTTGTAAATGATTAAACATTTTTATATAAAAGAATACATTTATTTCCTGAACACAGAACAGAACATTTGAACTCAAGCAAAGCAAGCAAGCTGCTTTATTCCACCAATGAGCTGATCAGCTCACCAGCAGCACTCAGTAGCTGTAATGCTAGTATTATATAGCCTAAAATCTGTTGCAGAAAAAAGGAAATAAACAGGCAAGTTTTTGCTTTTTCAGTGAAATATGTCCCTCTACTTTCCAAAATTCAAAGAAGGTACTGGTGGTTGGAAACTCTTTTAATTTTTTAGCAGTTTAGCTCCATTCAGCCCCATTCCTTATGGACTCGATTGTGGGCACCCCTGGCATTTTGCAGTCATGTTTTTAATAACTGGAGAAATAGGAGGTGGCCAGGCTCCCCTTAAATTGGCTCATGTATTGACTATTTTTATTGTTCTAAGGCTCTTAACTAACAACCTCATGGGCAGCTTCAACATGAAGGGAAAGGGGAAAAAGAAAAAGAAGGCCCTTGAAGACACACACTTGTATTCTGTAATTAAAGGTAAGTGTTTTCATATATTCTGAAAATAATTTTTAATAATTG